CAAAAAATCAGTCGATAGATCTTTTTAAAACCTACAACTTTCTCATTTAAAATTTTTCAATCCGTGCTATATTTTTTTATTTATTTTAGAAAAACCGTTTTTTTCAACTTTGCGATTTTTTTAAACCATGTTCACCATATTGGATCGAGTTTAAAGAACAAGAAACTCAATTTAAAATTTAATTTTCTATACGGTCATATTTTTTTGTCCAGGTAATAATTTCTGTAAGCATTTCTCTATAATGCTTGGACTAAATGTAATGTAGGTTAAAATCTACCGATAACAGGGTGTCCCAGGGTGTAACGGTGATAATAGAACACCTTAAAATAAGAAAAGTGCTCTTATAAACAGTTCGTAGAATGCTTCATTTTCAAGTTACAGTGTTGAAATTACATCTATTTAAATATCTCTTAAAATATTTGATATAGATTGATAAAACTTGGGGTAAAATTCTGAAACTCTTAGAATGCGGTATCTCCCAGCATCTCTGTGGTTGACACATTTGTCTATCAACTTAGCATTATTGCATTTGTATGTGAAATTTGCTTGAAACATAGAGTTGGATTTTCTAGTATATTTCCCATCTTCTTTAGATAGAAAATTGACTTTCAAGATGTCTAGATTGAAATGGAATTTACATCATATATGAAATTCATGTGATTCAATATTTTTACAGCATTTGTACCCTTGTAGTAATTTTTTGTAAATGTACCATGATGTTAAACGCCTCACTTGTTTAGTGTTAACAAGGTACATGGTATTATAAGCTGTTGACTTCCTCATCTAATTCTTGCTGGAGCTGGCAAATACGTCTTTAAGTTAGTTAAATTATTTAAATTATTACTGTATTAATTTCTTTTAGGTAGCTAAATACACACATTAATATTTTAACTTGCAAATATAATATTGATGTCAAAAACAAAAAGTTATGCAGTCAAAATAGGTATATTTCATAAAAATAATCTTGAAAAAACTAAGCAGTATTTATACCCATAACATTATACAGGATGTTTCATTTTAATCGACCACCCCGAATTAGGTAATCCAAACCACGTGACAAAATTGGAATTCAATATGGCGTCGAGGGCAAACATTTGTTTGATTCATATAAACTTATGTGTGTTTTGTTAAGAGTTTGCGTTTTTGTTGGTTTGGCTTTGTTTTTTTGAACTTTGACTGTATAACGAGTGTTTCGTGGATTGTAGTTAGGTGTCTTTGTTATTGTCAATCAATATACAGAGTGATTATTTAAAGAAGCTAGTATAAGAATATTAATTAATGTAACGTTGGCATTATAATGAAAAATACATAAATTAAGGAATTGGAATGTATTGATATCATTGTAAAAATTCTTGATAGTAACCTAACAAATTTTTCTTGATTTTAAAAAAATATAATTCCATTCTATTTTTTTTGCATTTTCTAGTAATTTTCTTCTTTTATATATCCATGTTTGGCGCCGTTTTCTCGATAAATCATTTAAATGAGGAAAATATTTAGAAATCACTACGTCAGGTAATCAATGAAAGCTAACTTGGTCTCGATTTCCAGGACTTCCACAACCCACTATTATGCATGTTACCGGCATTAGTAATACATATATTTGAGACACAATTCAATAGAAGACAAGTTGAACACTTCCTTAAATAAAATACATGAATAATTCCTTACAAAAAACTCGGATTAAACGCTTTTAACTAAAAACTTCTGGACTGATTTAATGCATTCTCAATGTAAACATAACTTGTTTGCTATCAGCGTCATATTGCTTAAAAATTTGACAGGTCGTTGGATTGCCTAATAACTTTACAGGACAACCTCCAATTGAAATACTTCCAAGAACAAAAGTTGTAAGGTTTTAAGGGGGCCGTACGATAATGACCTTGGTTTTGACCCAGAGGTGAAACTTAGTGGTCATTTGGCAATCAACTTCAGAATTTCAAATAAAAACCATATTTGTTTTATCCAGAAATGGAGAGCAGGAAATTTAAAGTATATTTGATCTTGGGATTGATCCCTAGGGGCTCTGCAGGTCAAATCAGGTTTCCGACTGAAAGGTTTACATTTTATGGCAAAGGCTGATTAATTTTTGTGATAAATACCGTATAAACTACCGTGATCATGATTTATGGTCTAATTGTAACTCTGATCTTGAGCCCTGCGGTGAACTTTGAGTTTGTTTTTTCTATCCAAAGATGGCAAAAGTGAAAAATATCATGTTCAGTTTAATTTAAAATAGTATATTGTGCAATAAGTGCGGTAAGTTGTCTATTGCCCACGAGAGCAGAGTAAACAACATGCGAAAATATAGGACTTATCCGTCATGAGTAATAAAAATATTTATTGCTAATGACAGTTAATATTAACAGTTTTTAGTCTTTCCCAAGCCATTTCCATTTTCTCCTAATCTGTTTAAAAAAACCTGTTACTTATTTAAAGTAATATAGTATTAAAAAATTAAAAACGTGTAATAATGAATAAATAGAGGAATACAACAGTTAATTATTGTTCTTGTATTCATTAACTAAGTATTCATCCTAGTAATTTGGTTGGCAATTCTATATTTAAATAATAATTACTTAATATTTATACTTGCACGAATAAATGTACTTGAATTTAATATTTTGGTTCTTAATTACAGTATATCTATTTAAAATTAATATTATTTAATTGGAACTAAGCATTTAAAAGAATGAAGATGATAAATACTTTGATTTTAAATGGTAATTTTGTTTTAGAGTAAAGATGGCACCTGGTGTGACTGTTACAAACTCCCAAAAACAAAAGGACGAATTGATTATTGAAGGAAATTCGCTAGAAGACGTTTCAAGATCAGCCGCTCTTATTCAACAATCCACAACTGTAAAAGACAAAGATATTCGTAAATTTTTGGATGGATTGTATGTGTCCGAGAAAACTACGGTTGTACAAGATGAATAACTTGTATTTATATATAAAAATAAATTTAAAATAAGTTTTCATTTGGTTTCATTTCAATAAAGTGATCTATCAGTCCGTTTAGAATAATCAAATATTTGAAAAGCTAAAGTTTTTTTTTATAAAATTAATATTGTGATTCCCACCTAGTGGGAAAAAAAATTAGAGGAAAATAAAAAATAATGCAACTTTGCTTTTTACACCCTTTTTCCCAGTGTGTAGAAGTCATAGTATGTTGAAGTTAAAAAAAATATTTGTTTAAATATCTTGATTACACAGGCACACAAAAAAAATGTCAAGACCCAGAGGGTAGACCCCCTACCCCTCCGTTTTTGGGGTCGCTGAGACCGAATATGACCATTAAAAAAAATTTAACTAACCATTTCCCCTTTACTACCCTGATATACCCCCTTCTGTGAGTTGAAATGTCAATTCTCATACAAAGTCGAGTAGGGTGTGTATTCCTATGTTTTCTGGGCCACTAAGAATGAAGAATACTACCAAAAATTAATTAGACACCCTTGTTACCCTTAGCATCACTTTACCACCCCCATACACCCCTTTATGGGGGTTGAAGTGTCAATTTTCATACAAACTCTAGTGGGTTGTGTATGCTTACATTTTCTAGGCTGCTGAAAACGAAGAACTACCGAAAATAAATCCAACCCCCTCGTCAACCCTCAGCACCCTTTGCCACCCACATTTGTTTTCAGCAGCCTAGAAAATGTAGGCATATACAACCCACTCGACTTTGTATGAAAATTGACGCTTCAACCCCCATAAAGGGGTGTATGGGGGTGGTAAAGTGACACTAGTGGGTAACGAGGGGGTCTTATTCATTTTTGGTAGACTTCTTTCTTAGTGGCCCAGAAAACATAGGAATACTCACCCTACTCGACTTTGTATGAGAATTGACATTTCAACTCCCAGAAGGGGGCGTATGAGGGTGGTAATGGGGAAATGGCTAGTTAAATTTTTTTAATTGTCATATTCGGTTTCAGCGACCCCAAAAACGGAGGAATAGGGGGGTCTACCGCCTCTGGGTCTTGATATATTTTTTTGTGTGCCTGTTATGTTTGTGGTTAAATAACACAGCCCCCCCCCAAAAAAAAAGTTATGTGCCAGAGACATGAGTAAAGATTTTGTTTATTCATTCATGCTGAATCCGCGGCCCAGAAATTGATTTACCAGCACATTTTTTATTAAAATAGGGTGAAATATTGAGGATAGGGTAAAGTTTTATTATGAAATGCAACAATTTGTAAATAAACTTGCGTGCATAGAAATCGGCCACTGCAAACTTTTGACTTTAATTATATATTTTTCTTTAACTATTCATCAGATTAAAAAAAGAAATATTCTGTTTGAAAGACAATTTAATATGCTTTAATATAAGCTTAAATTTATTATAATTTATTTTCGTTCCCTAGTTTTAACAAATGAAATTAATATAATGCATGAAACAAATTAACTTTTTTTTATTACTAAAGGAAATTTGGTTATTGACAACTATATAAATTAACACTTAATTTTTAATAATGGGTTTGACCCTCCTCTTGCCCTAATAACATCTCTCATACGATTAAGCATAGATCTTATCAAGTTCGCTATTGTTTCTTGTGGGATATTATAGCACTTCTTATACTTCATCAATAAGTTCTGGGATCGAGGTTGGGGCATGAAGTCTAGTTCGAATTCTTCGTTTTAGCTCATCCCATAAATGTTCAATTGGTTTTAGGTCGGGACTGCAAGCAGGCCACTACACAACCCGAAAACCGACTTCTGATATTTCGCACGATTCTTGCGGTGTGCGGCCTCGCATTGTCATGCATAAAAATAAACTCTTCTCCAATATAGTTGATGTACGGTACCACATGAACTGCTATAAAATCTTCTCAATATACCTAGCACCCGTTAAACCTCCTCTCCCGTGACCACGATCTCCCTTATAGTGATGAAAGCAGGGTCGGTTCGTGCATCCATAGAAATCGCGCCTCACATCAGGCAGCAATAATATACCGCCTCCATAAGCAATTCACTATTCAATGCAAATTTACTGTTTATTGAGGTGGGGTGGACAAAGTAACTCCACTCGTAATTTAACTTTGTTTTAGTCTTCAAGAATTAATTTTTCAAAAACTAACATATATTTTAGCAAAAACTCTGGACGAACCGATAGCTCGGAGAAAACCGATATTGAGGTTATTTTTATAACAGATTTGAGACTAATACAAATTAAATATTATTCTACAACTTTTTATTTTTAGCAAAGCAACCCCATCCCACGGTACTCATGTCTCTTGTATTGAACTTTTTTTGTGGGTCTGTGTAATTATTCATTGGTATATACTCGTATGTACCTGTGGTGTCTGGTAAAAATTGAATTGAGGCATATAACATTTGCCGTGAGGGTTGCTTTCGTTGTACAGCAAGAATAAAACGCTCTCTCAACGGTACAAATAAACTATTTTTATTGAAAACTAAGCTTGTGTAGAAAAAGTGATGTTGACGGTTTGAGGGTTTGCTGGAGAGTGCCCTGTGGTTGAAGTCGGTCGTAGATAGCTTGGTAGTCGGTGGCAGAAGTCCCTGGTCCTGGCGCCACTTGCCAGGGTCGTCTTCCGGGAACCCCGTGGTGCGTCCGGCGGCGTTCTTGACGTTGTACTTAAAAATGGGTCACTTGCGAACATGTGTACCCACACACCCCCACTCTTTTTCTGGGCCTTATTAAACCAACGTGGTATAATAAGGCCCTCTTGTGAGCTTGCAGTTTTTCGCATCTTATCTTCTGACTCCTTAAATTAGAAAAAAACATATAAAAGTTTTATTACACATTTCCCTTAATAATAATCAACATGGGCCTTTTAACCCCTGAGGACGTAAGAAGGCTACTCAACAAGTTCAGTTAAGTACTCTCTAAAGAAAACTAGGTAAATCAAACTTCTCTTAAAAAAATTAAAACTTTTCTTTCGATAACAAAAAAATAAATGTGACTACTTTTTCTTTGATTCAAAAAATAAAGCCTAATTCGTTTTTTTTTTAAATTCTTCGACTAAAGCTAACTGAATTGTGTTCTTACAATTAGTTACCTCTATACCACAGTATAGAAAATAGTAAATTAACTCCCCCTCTTTGTGGACCACAACCCCACTGCTCTAAAAGTTAAGTAAAGGGACGCGTGGTCTATGCATAACATCAAGCCCAACCCCTAGTCACCAACAAGCCTAGCCCCTAGACACCAACAAGCCCAGCTTAGCTTTCAGCTTTTGAGGTTCCCCTACTTAAGCGTGGTCTCTGCGCAGTCACTTAAAGCGACATAAAAAATGAAACTAGGGTCAATTTTTTATAAATAGGTTAGATAGATAGTGAATTTACTGTTTTCTATATTGTGCCTATACTTACTTAATTATTAAAATTTTAATTTGACATTAACATTCCATATTTTGAACTCTAATGCTGTAACTAAGAAATTAAAAAATCTTGGGAAAAATAAGAAAATACCTGTTTGTATCTATCAGCAAAAAAACAAAATAGTTTGCAGATATGAGGCGTATTCACAAAGTAAGTGTACTGAGACTGATGCTATGTGATTTTTGTTGGCAACACTGCATTCAAGGCTAAGGTGTTATGAGCAGAACGCGCCCTTATTTGTCTGTTAGTTGAGAACAGTTGTTGTAGTGGCGTGTTGAAATGAGTGCCGCAATTTCGAATCCCGCCAGGTGAACAATTCCTTGATTATATTGCGACTGGAGACGAAACTCTCTCTGTTTGTGTGTGCGTGCGTGCGTTATGAAAAAGGTTTTCTAGCGGCGTGAAGCAATGGGACTAATCGGTGGAGGCTCACAAAGCACATTATTGAGGTTGAACGAGACTACGTCAAATTATAGTATTTGATATACCTTTCTAAATCTTAAATATACTCTGCGCCGTTTCGATTTATAAAAAATTGAGTACTGGAACTTTGCGGATATGCCTCGTATATTAGTCCAGGAAAATTAGACGAAAATAGGGCCGAACCTCGGAATTGCATAAAGAAGGTTCGATTTTGATGGGACAAAGTGAGTTCTCTTCGTAATTGCATGTACATCAAAGTCTACAACGTCTCATGCGGCGCTAATTTGTTTATTTATAAATAATTATTATTAATAAATAATCGTATTTCGGATATTACGTGGGGTGAAAACGGCCAATCTTGATGCGGTAAAGCTCATTCTTCTTCTTATTAGTTGTATTTTAACTGTAAAGGACCCCCACCGATCTTCATTTGTTTATCGGTTTTTATTTGATTGTTATAAACAAATTAGACGTGATATCTGCGGTCGAGAGTAGGATTAGCCGATTTGGACGGGATGAACGTGGTTTTATATAGAAAGTTCAAGACCCTAATGCAGGAAGTGAATTCTCAAAAAGCTGAAGACCATATAGAACATGAATCATTATGAATAATTGTTATCCACTTCTCTTTGATTAAAATTTATCCATTCTAAGTCTTAGTTACAGATTGCACGTGTAATTTTTTTATAATGATTAATTAGTAAAAAGAAACAAATGAAGATCATTCGGACCTTAACGGTTTTGGAATATCCCGGATGATGATCAAAGTGACTTATTCCATAAAAATCAGACTTTTCTCGTCCAGCTCACAGATAACAGCCCGAATTTGTATATACTAATTCATTGAAGATCAATGAACAAATGAAAATCAGTCTGCCCTTAGTGGTTCTGGATCACCTTGTAATCCAAGTACGAGAAGAGCGTCGATTACCGCGTGAAAATCCCCCTCTCCCAGTTCGATTGCCTAATTTGCTCTTAATGATCGAATAAAAATCAATAAACAAATGAAGATCGGTGTGAGTCTCCCAAAGTTAAGGTACAACTAATCAGAAGAAGAATGGGCTCTACCGCATCAAAATTGGCCTTTTCCAACCCACGTAATATCTGAAATACGCTAATTTGTTAATAATAATTGATTATTAATAAATAAACAAATTAGCGCCGCATGAGACGTTGTAGGCTTTGACCTACATGCAATTACGAAGAGAACGCACTTTGTCTCATCAAAATCGAACCTTTGTTTATCCAATTCAGAGGTGAAATGCTAATTTTCCTGGACTATATACGTGCAACGCTTTTTAAAATCTGAAATAAGAAGTTCATTCATTGGAAATTCACGAACTTATTGAAAATATTAGCAAGTATATTACGCAGTCCAATTTTTTATTGTAATCACTCGGTAAATTTAATTACTTATCAAATAATTTCAAAGGAGCTATAAACAGGGTCGGACATTATATCTTTATATTAGTAACGATAATTCACTAATTGTAAAACATTGTTGAAAAATTTGTGTCAGTCCTATTATAATTTCTTTATGAATTCAAATAAAAAAATCCATCGATTTCTTTGAGTCTCTAAGACCATTATCCAGCGCCGGATTTACGCTTGTGAAGCTTATAGGCAGAAATTTGGTGGGGGACTTAGTAAAGGGATTGAAAAAAACATTATTTTTTATGCGTCTCTTTCAAGATTTTCTGTCGAATTTATTAAATAAATAATCTGTCTTGTTTTCAAAGGAATAATTTACTCATTGCAAAGAAAATATTAAATTTTATTTTCTCTAGGAACAAAAATTTACAAAATAACAAAAATTAGTGAATATTTTTCCCACTAATTTAATTATAAAGTGTAGTGCTTAATAATGAACTTTAGTACTAAAATAATAATAATACTTTTGATTGATTACTTATTGATTAATTAATTGATACTTAAAAAAAGTTTTTATATTTGAATTTAAATTATAATTAATCTACANAAATAATAATAATACTTTTGATTGATTACTTATTGATTAATTAATTGATACTTAAAAAAAGTTTTTATATTTGAATTTAAATTATAATTAATCTACATAATTTGGTAAAATTTTGGTTACAAATTATTTAACACTTATTTTTACATAATTTACAATAATTCTTTTCGAGCTTTCTTGTCAGTAAAATCAGCAGAATTATTTTTTCAAATTGGTGGGGGCCCTTTAAGCTGTGCCTATAGTCTGCCTATGCCAAAATGCGGCGCTGCCATTATCAAAATATGACAACATTAATTTTTACTAGTCGACTGAGATATCGATGATTTCTACCTCGTTTCAACCTTTAATTTTTATTCTAGTGAATTTATTAGAATTTTGCAGGATATTGGATTTTTATACATATTTGAGTTATGAAGCATAATTAATTTCCTTCACAGCATAAAATGCAGTTCAATTATAGGGATATAAAAAAATATTAAAATTCAAATTATTTTCAGTACCTAGGTATTACGTTACAGGATAAACCAAGTTAGAAATCTTTCATCAAAAACTGTGGTTCAATGACTGTTATATCATCAAAAAAAATATTTTGGAAAGTTCTTGAAAAAACTTACCAAATTCAATTTTTGTTGTTACATACCTATGCATAGTGTTGCAGCTAACGCTTGTTTTTGACACTCAATATCTCGGAACTTATGCGCCCTTTTTCAAGTCAAGCGTTTATCCGAGAACTTTTTCTAGTACTTTGATATATTTTCCAGCCCGCAAAACCGCTTCGCGAAAGTAAATTTATACAGGGTGTTTCTAACATAGGGTTCCAAACTTCTGCTGCGTTTATAACTCATTAAAATAAGCCAAAAAGTTCCTATTAACATGTGCTCTAAAACGCACTCTTAGGAAGTTATATGCCCTTAAAAGAGCTCAAACAAAACTGTTTTTTTTTTCAAATAAATTGCAGTTATGAAGGATCCGATCATTTAATAAATAATTTAGGACATAAACTAAGACTACTTAAATTTAGAGTTACACTTACTAATTAAAGAACTAATTACTACTGCAGACAATAGCTAAATGTGAAATAGAAAATAATGGGATTTAAATTAGTAATAATAAGTTAAATTACAAGAACTGCTCGAAGTGACCATCTTGCATTTCGATGCACAATCTAGCTCGACGCTTCAATGAATTGCGAACTCTTTGGAAAATTCTAGATGTTTGCCTTATTTCCATGCACGCGGTTTCAATTTGCTCCCGTAGTTGCTGAATGGTCTCAATTGGAATTTTATAAACCTTTGCCTTAAGTTGACCCCACAAAATGAATGGTCTCAATTGGAATTTTATAAACCTTTGCCTTAAGTTGACCCCACAAAAAATAGTCCAGGGGGTTAAGGTCAGGGGAACGTGGAGGCCAGGGAACAGGACCTGCTCGGCCTATCCATTTTTCTCCATACAACTCATTTAAGTGTTGTCTTACATTAATGTAGGTAATGAGGTGGCGCCCCGTCCTGCATAAACCATATGCTTTGGCGTTCAATTAAAGGGACATCTTTCAAAAGTCCTGGTAAGTCGTTAACTAAGAAATTGTAATCATCCTCACCATTCAATCGATTAGGCAACACAAACGGTCCGATTAGCCGATCGCCTAAAATGACAGCCCAAACGTTGACGGAAAACCGAATCTGATGTCTGGATTGAAATATGCTGTTTGGGTTTTCATCATCCCATTCATGAGCGTTATGAAAATTGACATAACCATCTTTACTGAAGCCCATTCATGAACGTTATGAAAATTGACATAACCATCTTTACTGAAGCTTGCCTCATCCGTAAACAAAATAAGAGATGCAAAATTCGGAATCCGCCTCGATTTTCGCAAAAACCATTGGCAGAACTGCCGACGTGGTTTGTAGTCATTCGGATTTAAAGCTTGAACACGCTGGATATGTTATGCATACGTGCGACACTTCTTACACTAACCCTTGGATTGTCCTGCACAGCTCTCAATACATTTTCTTCCATCACCGGTGTTCTTACAAACCTGTCTCTGCCACGATCATTTACTCTTGGTTGGAATGAACCATTTTCTCTTAAACGTTGATGGATTTTCTGAAATACCTGTCGAGAAGGAAGTTTTCTATTCGGGTATGCTGCCGCATACCGACGCCTCGCTTCTGATTCATTTCCAGCCGCACGGCCGTACATAAAGTGCATATCTGCCATTTCCGTGTTTGAATATGACTCCATTTTATGAGTTGCAATAATGTTGTATACTTAAATTTTCCACTCACCACTTTTACTAATTAAACACTGCAAAGCTCAATCGACAGTTTATCAATAACTTAAATTGTTAAGCGTTGTGGCAACGTCAGTCTTTTATTTGCCATGGTAAACAGATTTTCGTAATGTTTGGCCTAATAACTTAAAGAGCAGAGTAATTTTCAAACTCAATTTACTCGAAAACCATTGGACAAAGATAATATTTTTTACGTAAAATTGTTAAGATTTTATAAATCTGTAGAGAAAATTGTAAAAAAATTGAAATAAAAAAAATTACGGGCCGAAAACCCCCTTCACCAACATAAATGGGACGCATATGATTTGCATGTCGAAAAACGGAGTAGCCCATGTTATTTAACGTAAAAAGTTATGTAAGACCCATATTTTTTTTTCTATTTATTTGCGACCGTTTTGTCAATAACAGAAAAAAAAAACAGTTTTGTTTGAGCCCTTTTAAGGGCATATAACTTCCTAAGGGTGCGTTTTAGGGCACATGTTAATAGGAACTTTTTGGCTTATTTTAATGAGTTATAAACGCAGCAGAAGTTTGGAACCCTATTTTAGAAACACCCTGTATAATGTTTCTATATGATACTTAAGGGGACCAAGTCCAAGGGGTCCATTTTTACAAATGTAAAAGCCAATTAAAATGCCTAACTTTAACCTCATTATTGAAGCAAAAAAGTATTGACATTTCTTACAGAAATCAATTAACAAATCGTCTTGCCAAAACTATCAGACCGATAAGGACCGGGTGTTGGGATTTTGTTTTGTAATACTTTAAAGTAGGTTCTTAAATCCACATTTATAGCAGAACAGTTGTCGATTAAACGCATCAATTATTTTCAGTTACTTCGATTTTCATCTCTATTTTACGCTGTTTTTAGCCACCTAGCAACAAAAATGTTCATATTTTTCCTTTAGTGAATACTCCAGGAAACGTATTTTTCTTGAAAATTACTAAAGAGAATTACATTCTGAAAGCGGCTTTTAGATTTTTAGTGACTGTCTCAAATGTATAAAAAAAATAGCAGTATAATCACAGTTCACACCGTCCTGTAACACTAATAATTTTTTCCATACACATGCCGCAGGAGAGAATATTTAGCTGTTAATATGTTTTTCTATTTAATGCTTTTTTTTTTGTACAACTGTTTTCGAGATATTAACATTTGAAATTCAAGATAGTGACAGTTGAAATTCGCTGTTTATGAAAATATTTTTCCTTGAAATAAACATATCTAAAGTTATTTGGCAAGATTAATTAAAAATATTTATCAATGTATAATGCAAATTTTGAACCACTAAAAAAAAGTTTGTAAATATCATTGTTTTCAGAATTTAATTATCTTCAATTGTTTTTAAAACAATACACATTTCCCAAGATATATCGAACACCACATGCAAACTTAAAATTCTCAATACAAAAACAACACTCTTAATACAAAAACAAACAAAACTTTTTATCAATATTTTTTTTCATATAATGAAAAACCAACCACTTTAACCGTGAACATTTTGAATTAACATCTCATATAAAGTCTTAAATTTAAAGAGGTTGTTTGTTTTGTTTTCAAAGAGGTTTCTAGTGAAAAATAATGGTAGGAACGAAATCCGACAGTGATGAAAGCGATACAGGTTCTTACAGCGACTTAACTATTGTGGCGCTATTTGATGACCTCATGCAGTTGATGAATCAAACGAGGGACGAAATGGTGGAGGAGGCATTTGGCACGTTTGCTGAAAACACGAAAATTGTATTTACACGATGGCAAGATTCTGTAGCTGAATGCCAGAGGCTACAGAAAGCACTCGATATTAGGACACAAGAATTTAATGAAATTGAAAGGCACCTCAATGTAGCAAGGCGATTATTAGATGAAGAAAAGAAGATAACAAAGCAGGCTAAACATGAACGAGATGAATTTGTAAGTACATAAAAAGTTTTTGTTTCTTATCTTTAAACTAAAATGTATTATTTGTGTACGATAAAGAAACATCAAATAAGTACAGTGCGAAGGTTACTATTCAAAGACAACCGAATAAAGTTAGCAGACGAAATTAAGGAACAATTATCATTTTTGAACAAAGGCCGTTATAGTTCAGGGGAACCTGCTGGTGATAATCACCTGAGTGCTATTCCAGAGGTTAATTCTACAGGTAAGCGGCTTTTGAATGATGAAAATATATTCTCAATCATTATTCTGCAGATTCCATTAAGTCAGACTTTAGTTTTTCGCGATCTGAAGATGATCTGGATAGTTCTAAATGCTTCCAAGTTGGTAGAGAATGGAGAAAACACAGAGTAAGCACAGATGCTCCTGCAGAACCTGCTACCAAGAAAAGACGTTCATCCGGAAATAAAGTTGTCGAGGTATGTATTACAATAATTTTAATAAATAAACAGCCGTTATTTTGCATTTTATTTCTTTTAACACAACTGTGCTATTTTGACTCATTTAAAATGCGCTCTTCCCTATTTTATCTATAAACAAATATAATATAAATAGGGGTGATTCAGTTTTTATGATTAAAGTCGTAATCACCATCGATAGATCTCGTCAAGAGTTTTGGTTTTTACTTATTTTTTCTTAAACTATGAAACCATTTGTTTTATATTTAGTACCAATTGTACAAATTAAAAGCTTTATCAATTTTACTAATTATTGTGAAAATAGATCATAGGCGTTCGTAAGGGGCTCTGTTATCCCCTATTTTTAATGTAACTTGAAATTTTTGAAAATTAATATGTTTTTTTTTACATTGCGATTTATTCTACAGCAAAAAGGTGTCTTACTGTTTTAAATGAAATGCTTTATTTTTGAGAAAAATGACTTCTTATGGATTCATTACATGAGAAATGGTTAAGTTTTTCAAACAAAATAATACATAATAAAATATTTAATATTGAGAAACAAACAGAAACAACAGAGAACAAAAGAAAAAAGTATCACTACAAATGTTCGAAATGTTGACCTCGAACATCAATGCATTTCTCACGTCGTCTAATTAAGCTTTGAGCTGCTCTTCTAATCATATTGGGGTTATGTTTAAAAGTTTTACAATTATTTCCAGTTATTCTTAACATTTCAAGAGTACAGACTGGTGAACTCTACACCCTTTATTTAATAAATCCCCAAACGAAATAATCCATGGAATTTAGATATGGCGATCGTGGCGGCCAAGCAATGGGGCCGGTATCAGGTTCTCCATAATTCATTTCCAAAGTGCGCCCGATCCAACGACGTGGGTAGTGCTTCCCGAGCCACTGCCTAATTTGAAGACCATAATGAGTCGCAGCGCCATCCATTTGAATCCACATATTTCTCCTGAAAAATAATGGTAACTCGTCGAGTCAAGTATTTAAATGTTCAAAAACCAAGCATTCTATTTAAAATTAGTAAGAGACTTTTTGCGGTAGAATAAATCGCAATGGAAAAAAAATATATTCATTTTGAATGGCTTTCATAGTTTAAGAAAAAATAAATAAAAACCATAAAAAGAAGTTTTTTTAAGAGATTATATCTTTAAAGGGAAGCTTCTGGAAGAAAAAGTATATACTTCAAAATGACATTATTTTGACGAGATCTATCGATAGCTAAAGTGAATCGATATTCTAATTATAAAAAGTAAATCACCCTGTATAAACTAATTATACAGGCTTCACAAACGGTGACCAAAAATGAAACCTCGTATTCTTTGGTGAATTTTAAGGGCAATATTTCTTATAAAGTGTTTATCTAGGACGCTTCGTTAAAAAGAAGTTAAACTTAAAAAAATATTTTAATTTTTTTTTAAATAATTTAAAAACTAGTAAGTCAAATAATTTGAAATTGGGCACATGTATTTATGTAAACATTGTCCAAAATCTGGGGCCTCTTCCTAAAATTTAGACGCCCCAGTGACGGAGATACGGGGTATCGGTGGTATATTTTCTAAATAAAATAGTACGCCACTGCTAACAATCATGATATTTTCGGATTCGTCTTTCAATTTTCTACAATTACTACCTACGTTTTTCTAAAAACGCCAGATTTTGGAGTAAAACTTAAAAAACCAACTAAACACATTTTAGTGGAGTCTTAAGATAGCTTAAAATTACGCATTATTTCGAAATAATTATGGGAAGCATGGATTTTCCTAAAACCTTTTGAAATTACTTGGAGATAAACATTAGAAAAAAGTTATAAACTTATTTTTTTACGCTAATTGTTTTTTAATTGTTTAAACAATAATAAATAGTTTTTTAAGAACATTTAAATAATTCAATGAATTTTAAATTCAATTCTTTCAAATTCACAATATAGGGGTTTTCGATGTCGCTGAACGAACATGAACTCGGAAAATGAAAATTCAAAATGGCTGATCCAATATGGCTGACTATTTTAAACAATTTATTTAAAAATTATCGATTTTAAATCAAACTCGCTTATATTTGTAATATAGGGGTTTTTGAGGTCGCTAAACAAGAACATGAACTCGGAAAATGAAAATTCAAAATGGCTGATCCAATATGGCCGACTATTTTAAACAATTTATTTAACAATTATCGATTTTAAATCAAACTCACTTATATTTGTAATATAGGGGTATTTGAGGTCGCTAAACAATAATATGATGTCGAAAAATGAAAATTCAAAATGGCTGATCCAATATTTCCGACTATTTTAAAAAATTCATTTAACAATTATCGATTGTAAATCAAACTCGCTCATATTTGTAATATAGAGGTTCGAAAATTGAAAATTATAAATGGCTAAAGAGATTTTATTGAAAATATGTTTTATTTTTTAAAAAACAAATTTATTACAAAATAATTAATTTTTAAATATCATCGAGTTCTTGCTCTTCTTCAAAAATAACTGGGCAATTAAACTTTAAGCCAATAAAATTGAAAAAAACAGTGATTTTAAATACAAAATCAAAATCAACGTCCCCTATTATTTATTTATTTATTTATTTATTTATTATTTTAAAAATGGATCAATATTCATATATAAATATTAAACTCATACATTTACAGGTTTAGCATAAAAGAAAACGAATATAAATACCTTAAATGCAAACTGAAGATTTCTCCTCAAAATGGACAAAATATGTGAATACTACACTTTTTGACACACTGATAACTGCAGCTTACTCGGAAACATAAAAATCATATTCTTATACCATTTATAATAATAATTATTTAATTCTTATAAACGAAAATCGCTTTTAAAATAAATAAAACTGTAAGTAACAAAAAAATATTTGGTGTGCTCACAACTTTCAAAATTCCCCTTCGCAAGCAAGGCTATTGTATATATTTCTATATAGTAGTATACACCATGTGCGTGCTATACTCACCGAGCAGGTTTCGAACTTATATTCACAATTTCAGATACAGAATATACTTTTTAAAAATGAATATTAAATCAATTAATCAAAAAATTTTTTCTTTAACTTAATTCTTTGATGTTTTTTTTAAACAAAAAAAAATTTTTTTTTACATTATTAAAATTTATTTAACAATAAATTTCACGGATTTTTCATGAAATATATTTATTTTTCGTTATTTTTTGTTTTTTCAACTATTATTTCAATTTTTTACGAAAAATAAAACGCACCATCTGAAAGTGGAGATTTTAAGCTTTAAAAAGTGTTCTCATAAAGTTTCAATATCACATTTACAACTATAGTTTTTGATCTATAAAGTATGGCCAAAAAAGTCAAATTTGCGATTTTTTAAAATTATTGAATATGTTGGGCTCAATATTTTTCAAATTAAATTTTTAAGATTTTTTCCATATCGCTCACTGTTTCAATCGTCATTTGAAGAGTAATCTATGAAAGTTACAGATATTTATTTTAAAAATTAAAAGAATGACAGCTATTTTATTATTATTGTACAAAATTATAGAATGACGTACCTTTGTACGTATGTACTATACAGGGTGTCTCATAATTAGCTGCCAACCCTGAACAGACCGATTTTATGATCTAAACTAAGTAAAAAAGTTCATATGAACATGGGTCCGGAAATGCTTCCTAAGGGCACAGGGACCCATTGAAGAGGGAGGAATGGAAATCATTTTTTTGCAATATCTCTCAATCGCGTTGTGATAAATGAATGAAATTTGGTATACACAGCTAAATTTTGATGAGCAATTTGATGGACTAATCCATTTATTTCCACAAGGTCCATTGGGGTGGGTACGGGGGGGCCCTTGGTACTTTGCGTGTGTAACTTTTTCATCTTTGACTTTTTAACAAATTGGACAGCAAATTCCGTTTTCCCGAACTGTTTTACGTTAAAAAGGTACTCTTGTTTCAAATCGTTATCTTTAACGGTTTCTGAGAAAATCGCTCTTGAATTAATCCCACTTTGGTCAATTTCATAGTAATTTAAACAAAAAAAATTTTTTTGTTTAAATTTAATCTAATTTTAATAAAAAAATAATAATAAAAAATTAAATTAAATAAAAATTAATCCTTTAAATGGAAAAGAGAGGAAAGGAAAATTATTATTATTATTTTTTGTTTAAATTACTATGAAATTGACCAAAGTGGGATTAATTCAAGAGCGATTTTCTCAGAAACCGTTAAAGATAACGATTTGAAACAAGAGTACCTTTTTAACGTAAAACAGTTCGGGAAAACGGAATTTGCTGTCCAATTTGTTAAAAAGTCAAAGATGAAAAAGTTACACACGCAAAGTACCAAGGGCCCCCCCGTACCCACCCCAATGGACCTTGTGGAAATAAATGGATTAGTCCATCAAATTGCTCATCAAAATTTAGCTGTGTATACCAAATTTCATTCATTTATCATAACGCGATTGAGAGATATTGCAAAAAAATGATTTCCATTCCTCCCTCTTCAATGGGTCCCTGTGCCCTTAGGAAGCATTTCCGGACCCATGTTCATATGAACTTTTTTACTTAGTTTTGATCATAGAATCGGCCTGTTCAGGGTTGGCAGCTAATTATGAGACACCCTGTATATATATATTTTTTCTCAAGTTTAAAGACATAAAATTCTGATAGCCGGATGACACTTCTTTTATTTAAATAAATTTTTGTGAGGTCGATTTGATCAATTAGATCAAAAGTTATAACAAATTTAGCATAGCGCGCTCGGGGCCGCGCGCCCTTCGAGAGCCGCCCGTCTCATTTTTCGTACATTAGAAAAAAAATTCTACAGCCTTCAATTCGCATTTTAGAAAAAAACTTTATTATTTTTTTTGTAAAATTTCCTGTTCTTTCGTAATTCCAAAACTGTAATTTTGCAACTAATTTGTTAAATAAATAATGTTGACAACTTTACAAAGCGAAAAATAAAAAGTTCTCTCTTCCCGTAATTTTCGCGAAGTCATATTCTATCTTGACTCCACTACTTTTACTTTTAAATGACATGACAAACACTAATCATTCGGTTATTTAATCGAATAAAGAAATTAATAAATGAATAAATTAGTACAAATTTTAATGATCTTATTTGAGTAAATGCTCAAAAATACCTCCATTTCCACGAACACAGGTGCGACATCTTTTTAGTAACGAAAATGTAATTTGTTCGATATTTATTGTTGCTTGAATCTGATGAAAAGCATTATTTATTCGTTCCTCTAACTGCTCAGGTGTATTAATTTGTTCACTGTATACCAACCATTTAACAGCACCCCACAAAAAGAAATCCAGTGGGTTGAGGTCCGGTGATCTTGCAGACCAATGTACAGGTCCATTTTGCCCAAAATGATAATTTAACCATCTAACTACATTTCAGCTAATATGCGGTGGTGCACCGTCGTGTTGGTACCACATTCTCTCGTTGCTTGCGGAATGCCATCTAAAATAGTGTAATCTACGTGATTTTCTAGTAGAACTTGGTAATAATTTCCATTGAAACGTTGTGGGAATACTTGCTTTTTTTCGAATAGCATAAAATTGTAGTAATTTGTAAAAAATCGAAAGACGAATCTGAAAATATCATGACTGTTACCGTAAAGCAGTGGCCTACTATTTTATTTAGAAAAATATAAGAAAATAAGAGAACAGTTATTACAGCCCGTACAATATTTGTTGCGATAGAATTCCAAGAATAGAATAATAAAAAAAAATATAATAAAAATAAAGTTCTGTTATCGAAACTACTGTAACAATTTAGCGCGGCAGGGGCGTGACTTGAAAAGTTCTGTCAATGTTTTTCTATCTCTGGTTTCTAAAAAAGTGACGCAGCAACTCCATACAAATTCATTAATTCACACAGATCCGCGCAACAGCTACAGTTACGACTACAACTACTGTAACAGTAACCAACGAGGGACCAATAAAAGCAACTTCTGTCGTCGAGTCTTTGCCAAAGACACCATTTCCCGAGCCTCCAATTATAACTGTAAGTTTTTGCTTCAAATTTAATATAACATATTTCGTTAGCTTTGGTTATTACAGAGCCTTCACAAATGTTTACAAGCCACGTGACTGCCGAGCTTAGGCAACCCAACATTGTATGACTGGTACTGGTAACGAAATAATACAAATATTTCATTCATTCATTCACTCAAAAGCCCATCTTACATTTTTATTAATGCAGATGAAAATAAGGCGTTTTCAAAGAAGTGTAAAAAAACCTAAATGTTGGCATCATCAATATTAATAATTCATTTACAATGACCAATGACAAACCGCTACGTCTACGCTCGAGATAATGCGATCGCCTGTTGGTAGAAACTACCTCGTGAAAAATTATACCAATCACAGCCGGTGAAAGTGAACGATATGTTTAATGTAACCTTGATCTTATTTTTTTAATAATTTTTAATTCTACCGAAATTTAATGGCCAACATGAAAGAAATAAAATTACTATTTCAAATAAAATTACCGGTCACGTAGCTTGTAAACATTTATGAAGGCTATGTATCTAATAATTATAAATTATTTATAGCTCAATCATGTCACTGTCTTGGCTTTTCTAATTATAACAAGTTAAATTAAACCACAAACAGAAAATATTCAGTTACTGTTAACTGTTGCCTTAACATTTATTAATTCGTTCCATTACAAATTTTTAATCTTAGGTTGCAATCATAGTCCAGGAAATATGAGTTGGACGCGACTTTTTGTTCGGCAAGCTGAATTTATCACTATAGATGCTAAATATTATGTAGAATAACATATTAGTTTCCACAGTCATAAAACAGGGGGGAAGATTGTTTACAGGGTGGTTGATTGTATAATTTGTACGTAAATTCACGTTTTTCGCTTATAACATTTTTTCGTTCATTTCCACGAGAAAACAGTAAAGTACTTTTTTTTTGGTCTTCAAAAGACCTACAAAACAAACCCTCGAGCGTAAAAAAATATTGATTAGATCCAAAGTTATAAACAGAAGAAGTTTATTTATGACTATTGAATTAAACATTTATAAACTGCGTTATTATTACCAGAACGTTTTGGCATCGTATCCTCTCATTCCTTATCACTGTCTAATAACTCACACGAAATCTGGAATCGGTAAGTTCAATAGTATATCTAGCATGAAGAAAATCAGTGCGATTGTGGAAGATCCTCGGGATCGTCCAGACTAATAAATTAGTTAATTTGTTTATAAGGCGATAACTTGTAAACTATTCAACTTACCGATTCCAGATTTGGTGTGAGTAATTAGACAGTGATAAGGAATGAGAGCATGCGATGCCAAAATGTTCTGGTAATAATAACGCAGTTTATAAATGTTTATTTCAAGTCATAAATAAATTTCTTCTGTTTATAACTTTTCATCTAATCAATATTTTTTGACGCTCGACGGCTAGTTTTGTAGGTCTTTTGAAGACGAAAAAGAAAGTACTTTACTGTTTTCTCGTGGAAATGAACGGAAATAAGTTATAAGCGCAAAACGTGAATTTACGTAAAAATTATACAATTAACCACCCTGTAAACAATCTTCCCCCCATTTTTATAACTGTGGAAACTAATATGTTATTGTACATAATATTTAGCATCTATATAGTGATAAATTCAGCTTGCCGAAATAAAAAGTTGCGAAATGGTCATTTCCCAGTTTATTTTCCTGGCCTAATCATTTGAATTTTAATTTTCATTAGAGATTACCAGAAAGTAGCGCCAACTTGAGACAGCACTGCTTCCAGCAGAAGACTGTTGTCATGCCCGGTTCTTGTATGTCTTGTGCGAAGCGTACACATTTTGGAAGGTCGGTCCTTAAATGTAGGGATTGCAGAGCAATATGTCATTTGGAGTGTAAAGATTACTTACCTTTACCCTGTGTCCCAGCAGCAAATACGCCTGGTAACAGAAATTTGTTGGTGAGTATTGAATTGTCATTCGTAGATTTCAAGAGTGTATCGGGTGGCTCATTGAGTGGCCTATTAGATTATTTCAGAACCTACTTCGATTTAAATTTAGAATCTTGGCACACTAGGGCTTTTGGGTGTGCTCTTTTCAAATATAATAATTTTGTTCCTGTAACACTTCCGGACCGGAAGTTCTACACATTCTGTTAATGTTCCTATCACATTACCCATAAATAACATCTACCCATTTTGTTTTAAATTGGTACAACAACAATTTCTTGATGACGAATAATGATTGACAGCTTTGCCGTTTGTTTTGTAGCCGCGTTAAAATTTTCACAGCCACCCTCGCACTTAAGTACGAATACATAATAATAATATTAATCCATTTCAGTAGGGTATCAAAATAACTTCAAATAACATAAAAACTAGAAGAGATAAGTAGGTATAGGAAATCAATCTATCGATAGAAAGAGAGTAAAATGGCATATCCAAATTTGAAAAAATATACAGGGTGTTCCATTACAAAAAATCAAGTTTAGACGGTTTCCAGTGGACCCAACTCGGTATTGAATTATCACCACCATGAATAAGATTCGGTAACTCAGAAGATATGGCTATGTAGCTTAGGCAAATATTGTTGCTTTATCTGTCTGACTGTAGAATGCGGACGGCTTTAAAGTAGGTTCCGATTTTAATTTATTTCCCTAAAATGGATAATTTTAGGAATAGGGAAACTTGATGAAAATAACCTTAAAATGAAGCGTAGAATCTAAAAATGTAAAAATATGTGTTCCATTTAAAATATCAGAGTTGTCGTCAACTTCTGGTATAACCGGAAGTGCTACAGGAACAAAAGTATTAGATTTGAAAAGAGCGCACCCAAAAACTCCAGTGTGCCAAGTTTCAAAATTTAAATCGAAGTAGGTTCTGAAATAATCTAATAGGTCACTTTGAGACACCTGGTATATAAATCTGAATAGTGATAAGATATTTTAAAGACATCGGAATAATCATACATATTTTTAATCCAACTAGGGATTATTTAACTGTCAAAGCAGCCGATTTCATTTTGCATTTAAATTCTAGAATCCCAAGCTTGCAAATATTTTTCAACTTTTCGTTCTACAAAATTAGAAAAGTGAGGAATATTTTTGTTTTATATACAGTGCCTTCATAAATTCCCGAGTCCCATGTGACCGCGACTGTCAGGCAACCAAACTTGCACTAGAGGTAATCATTAACACAAAATGCCCTAAATACAGAAAATAGTCCAGTGGAGTATATTTTACATTTCTTTACAAATATTGGACTTTAATCTGCAAAATGTGTTTCTTTTTTCAATAACAAAAATAGTTTTTTAAATTTTTACTTACCCAATTACCATACCATAAGATATTTTGAATATTTATCCCATTCCATACTGAAAAAGTATTTTGTGATTGAAGAAGGTGGTCCTTTTAAAATCATAGACTCTTTCATAGTTCACTTTCATTCAGAGATAATGAAAACGATGTTAATAAAATACAAAAAGTTCCAGTTATACAGGGTGTCCCAGAATAACGTGTACAACGGAAGACCACAGATTCGTGGAATCAAGATATGTAGATTTAGGCTAATTCACCTATATCCAAAATCGCTTCGTTTGGCCGCTAGATGGCCTTGAAGTTTGTGAAAATTTTTCGAAATAATTCGAATACGTATTATTCGATTTTGATTATGTTTGGGGTAAGGACTTTTGTTTTCAATCTACACATTTTGGTGTTATACAGAGTGCTTTTTAAAACTTACAACTCCTACAAAATTGATGTATTGTGATAATATTCATTCATAACTTTTTCCTCTTTCGGGCAATAATGACAACTATTTTTTATTTGATAGGTGATACCATTTGGAAGTTTTTGGGCCTCTCGTAGAATTTTGTTTAAATGAGCGTACACTAAAGTATTTTTTAAATGTATATGTTATGGACCAGGTGATTAATGCGGGCATTATTAATAATGTGCGAGCATTATGAATAATGTCTAGCTCTATCGGGCTAAGTGATTAATTATTATCTAACCTTCATTATTTATCACATTGCACGGTCATTATTATATTGCTAAAATATGTTTGTATTAGTCTGCCCAAAAGGTGATGGACAATATGTATAATGCCCGGTCAATTTGATTATTTGAATAATTATTATCAAATTGTATACTCATATTGGGCATTTTACATAATGACCGGGCATTGCGTATAATGCCCGATTTATCATTTGGTCCATAACATATACATTATGTTGCCACCCATATTACAGTAGGTACTTAACAAAGTGCTAGTGGGCTCTGATTTTGTAAGTGACAGTAATTTCAGTTTGCTCTTTTTTGGGATAGCATTATCATTGGCTCTATTATTCTACCCAATAGACGGAATGGGCAATTTTATTTAGAATTTTTGCAAAACCTAAGTTATTGGAAAATGTGCCGTTTATTACTCAGAGCTAACATGTGGTTTATGCATGATGTCGCTCCACCACATTTCATTGTAAATGTCCGGCAGTATCTGAACCAAAGATTCACTCGCTCATGGATCGACAGAGGGGATAATGCTCCTGTTAACTGACATGTACGTTCACCAGACCAACTTCCAATAATTTTCACGAACTTTGAGGCCATCTAGTGGCCAAACGAAGCGATTTCGGATATAGGTGAATTAGCCTAAATCTGCCTGTTTTGAGACTTTTGAGTCCACGAATCTGTGGTCTTCTGTTCTACACGATTATTCTAGGACACACTGTATGATTATAGTAATTTTAAATAAATACCTAATGTAAAACAAGTTTCTTAGGACTTCGCACCATTTATTGTCGAATATTTTCGTTAAAATTCGGCATACGCCTTGAGTTAACTGGAACTAGGTTGAATTTTCTTGTCTTTAGGGAATTATCAGTGATTATACACCAGCCATACCCCCAATGGTTCCAGCTCTAATTGAGCATTGCATGAGGGAAATAGAACAAAGAGGGCTAAATGAAGTTGGATTGTACACAATACCTGGTTCAGAGAAAGACGTGAAAAGTTTGAAGGTAATATTTACTACCACTCCTTCATTTGTTCTCGCTTAAAACAGAATTTTTCTTCATAGGAAAAGTTCATCAGTGGAAGAGGTTCACCCAGTCTTAAAGAAATTGATATCCACGTGATCTGCAGCTGCGTTAAGGCATTCCTATGTTGTCTAACCGAGCCGCTTATTACCTATAAGTTGTGGAACGATTTTGTGCAAGCCGTCGAAGCTAAAGACGAGCAAAACATCGTGCCTTCTTTATATCATATTATTTCTGAGTTGCCGCAACCGAATAGGGACACATTAGCATACGTAATTCTCCATATACAGAAGTAAGTTAAAAAAGCAGAAATTGCAGTTCTCTGAGTGGCCTAATTGGAATAATTCTGTTTCAGAATCGCGAAATGCCCACAGTGTAAGATGCCAATTGAGAGTCTCTTTAAATTGTTTGGTCCTACAATTGTTGGGTACTCTTCGAAAGATGCCAATCCAAATAATTTGATTACGGAAACTAGGCAGCAAGACATGGTAAGATATCACTTTGTATTTTTTGATGTCGGAAATATAAATATCAAGGGGCCATCCCATGATTTCAGTGAACTGCCCAATCATTCCGATTGCCAGCAATTGCTTTATTATCGGGAGTAATTTTTTGTAACATTTTTAATCTAATAGTCCAGACGGTACCTGTTTCAAAAAGTCCATATTTGGGTGAATTGTATATCCACGGAGATTTTTGGCTTTTAGGCTTTCAAATGTCACTAGAAATGATGCGCTTAAAAAAAACGTGGGTTTAACTTTTGGCGGCACAATATGTTAAAAAAATTCAAAAAATGTCATATTTTTCTTCCTATTTAATTATGTAACTGTTCAAGAGTTGATTTTAAGCGAAAATGGAAGAGGAAAAAATTTTTGTAATTAAATTTTTAATTACAAAAATTTAAAATGTTAGTCGAAATTATAAATTCTATTTGTAATTTCGAATAATTACAAATCGAATGAATCACGATTATTATTGTAAAAATCGAAAATATCGCCAAAAATGGAGTTAAAAAATATTACTTTTTAGGTAATTTTTTGGTGTTTTTAAATTGGGTATAGGACCTTCATACTCGTCTCAAGAAAACTCCATGTTATGTAGAATCATCACACCAAATTTCATTAAAATCGGTTAGATAGATTTTGCATAATAATTTTGCAATCCAGATTTTGAAAAAAAATGTAAATTTTCAAAATTTTGCACAGCAAAAACCAAGACCCTTAGATACTTGAAAATTTAATCACATACAGAAGGGCTCTCAATCTTTCAAACTTCTTCTTTGAAAAATTCCAATCCGTCAATTAGGAGAGCTCTGGCGCTTGTTTAAACATTGGTCACATTTTTGTACTTATAAACTATTAGAATAACTCTGTGAATATTCAACAGAATCAAATTTTTTAAAATAGGTTTTAAAAGTTCTTGGAAAGACGCTTCTTTAAAAAAAAACAGGTCGATTGGTCAATTAATTACGTAGTTATAGCCGATTAAAGTTAACCGTCGCTAAATGTACTGGTACATCCGGGCAAATTTTTCGAAAAATACCTGCCAGGACTAAGTTTGCAATATTTTTCTTCATTGGCAACCTTCTTTAAAACGCGTTTAAAGTTATTTATGCAAGCGAGAAATTCAAGAAAATCGTACGGGTGGTGGTGGTGGGGGAAGCAGAGAGCGCGGCTTGCTCGAAATTGAATAGGAGAGTTCAAAACCGCGACGCGCTTAAAAATTTTTAATATCTCGGTTTCTAGAGATCCGATTTTGATAATTTTTTTTTTAAATCGATGTCCCGCGATTTAAAAAAAACAATTAGTGTATTTTCAAATGACTATCGTTAATAATTATTGGTCTTTCAACAGTCCGATAATTATTTATCTTTAAACTTCCTTTAATTACCAACTTTATTTTTTTTTGTATCAAAGGTAAGTGCATAAACTTATATATTGTTTATCAAAGATCAAAAACAAATTTATTTATATATTCTAAAATTGTTTAAACAACAATTATTTTCAAAATATGTCGAAAATTAGTAACATAATGAGTTAATTTCTCATTTGCTTATATTTTAAACAATAAATAATATTTTTTTAATTGTACTTTAATCACAAAGGAAATGATGATTAAATTAATAAATTAATTATAAAAAATCAATCACTTTTAAAACCTGCTTTAAAAAATTTGATTTGATTGAATATTCACAAAGTTATTCTATTTGTTTATAAGTACAAAAATTCGACCAATGTTTAAACAAGCGCTGGAGCTCTCCTAATTGACGGATTCGAATTTTTAAAAAAGCGTTTGAAAGACAGCCCTTCTATATGTGATTTTCAAGTATCTAAGGGCCTTGGTTTTTGCTGTGCAAAATTTTGAAAATTTACAATTTTTTTTTCAAAATCTGAATTGCAAAATTATTATGCAAAATCCATCGAACCGATTTTGATGAAATTTGGTGTGATGATTCTACATAACATGAAGTTTTCTTGAGCCAAGTATGAAGGTTCTATACCGAATTTAAAGACTTCAAAAAAATTCCCTAAAAAGAAATGTTTTTTAACCCCATTTTTGGCGATCTTTTCGATTTTTACAATAATAATCATGATTCATCCGATTTGTAACTAGTCATATTTTGTAAAAAATTTAATTACAAAAATTTGTCCCCTTTTCTATTTTCGCCTAAAATCAACTCTTGAAAAGATTAAATAGGAAGAAAAATATGACATTTTTCGAATTCTTTTAACATATTGTGCCGCCAAAAGTTAAGGCCACGTAATTTTTTATGCGTATAGAAAAATTTTCATTTCTATGATATTTGAAAGTGAAAAAACCAAAAATCTCCCTGGATATACGATTCACCCAAACCAAAACAGATACCGCCTAGTCTATAATGTAAATTTCCTTTCGTATTTCCTACTCTACATCAAAATTGAACTGTTTTCGAGAGGTCGTGTATCCGAGCGAAAATCACAGTTTTAAAATAAATGGTTAACAATTGTACGTACTGGGCTCGACAAGATTGTATCGTCACTGTCAAAAAGTTGATGGAAATTAACATGACAGCTGTCTACTTAAATATGTATCATTTGTGCTACTTCTTTTGAAAATACTCTGTATATGTAGTGACAGTGTATTCAATGATAATCTGGAACACTCTTTTAAAATTTGACTGAAGTGCCTGATTTGAATTAATATTTTTTTTGCATATAAAACCCTCCTACGTATACTTGGCAAATGTATTATGATGAATAGACTACAAATCCATGGCATACTATGATTTTTTCCATTTCATATTTCAAGATATCATATTACAGATTTTTTTATTGAATATCTGATGTGACATTTTTATACATATCCCAAACCAGAAAACTGAATTTTAGGCAATTAATTTTAGTTAGCACTTTGTAATTAAATAAAAAATGTAAAAATATTGAATCAAATTCTAACTTGGTTGAATTTTCATTATACAGCGGATACTGGGCAAGTACGGATGAAGTAAATGTTTATTCATTCGTACAATATACTGTTTCTCTGTTTTTAATTAGTAACACCATTGCAAAAGCTAAATTTTGTTGCATTTTTTTTTAATGGAACGAAAATTTAGAGGATAATAATATTCAAGGATGTTATTAACCATGACTTTAAGTGTTCAAGAAAACATATTTATTCATAAATATTACAGTATGGCGACGCTGGAGCCATTCTCGCGAAGCGTGTCGAATTTGGGGCACTTTTGACGCATATTTGAATATGGAAAAACACAAAAAAATTTACTTTAATCTACATGAGTATGGTTAGAGAAATTGGTACGCAGGGGATTTTGAAAACATTAACCATTAACAAAATGTGCAATCATTTGTCAATAAAGTTAAAATCAACTTATCGAAAATCCTGGATGTACTTCTCTTCGGAATATTATTTAAGGATATAATCAAAATTTGGAGTGAATAGAATGAAAACTGTTAGAACTATGCTTCGTGCCGTTCTAAAAAACTGAGTTTCGAGAAAAACGCTTTTAAAGATTTGCGATATAGGTACGCTATACAGGCTGTAACTTTAGTGGGGGTCATATTTATACAGAGGCTTCCTTTGACCTTTAGAAACACGTATCAATAATTTATTTTGTCAAATTCCGTTGTATCGTAATTTTTTTTTAGTAATTTTCGTACCCTGCCGCTAGTGTAACCTCAAATAACGCCGTGTCACACCACTCGCCGCGAGAGCGAGTTGGTGTTCGCCACATAAACCAAGTACCTAACTAGCAATAAACTCAAGCAGTAATCTAATCAGTAATGATTAGAGCTGTCATAATTGGCCGCGCACCAAAGGCGTGAGGATTATCAACATAAAGTGAACAGTGATTGTAATATTTGTCATTGTATTATTGTGAAGCACCTAAATTGTTTTACCCATCGTTGCCATCGGTTCCACAATCTGGATGGGATTCGTTATAGATCGCATCATCAGTTATGTTTCTAGTCTTGTTTTAGTGAAACTTATTCACGGCGGTGATAAAATATCTTAAACTGAAGAGAACTATCGTTCGACATCTACTGATGTAATATTTGCATAATTAAATAATCTACTTCCAAGCTGGTCGGACATGGCAATTTCCGCTCGGGTTTGTATTTATTCCAGTAGGAATGAAATATTTTATTATATACATACTGTATGCAATCTGCATGAAGATTCAGTATGAGAATCAAACATGAATTGAGTCTTCTGGTTTTCGCCAGTTTTTTTATACGTGTTTGTGCACTGTTTAATACTTATTACTTTATATTTATTAATATTTATTTTAAAGGTACTTATACAAGTATGTACATACTGAATTGCATTATTGTTTATATTTTTTTAGTAAAAGAAAGTATGTTGGTTATTTAACTTTCCCGATGACCTATGACCGCATAGTCACTGTAGACCGCATTTACTTGAAATCTGCTACTTTACCAGATGCCTGGAAATCAGCTGATGTAATTGCTATTCATAAAAAAGGTGACAAATTCAATAAGGAAAACTATCGACAGATTATCTTACCCCCTGTTGAAGTGAAAGTTATGGAGAGAATTATCACTGAAACTGTAACCGAATTTCTTTTGTCACATAAAATTATTCCTGAGGAGCAGCATGGATTTCTTCCTGGTAGATCAACAACTACCAATTTGCTACAATGTTTAAACGACTGCACCATCGCAATTGATAGTGGTCAGTGTGCCGACATCATATATCTTGATTTTAGCAAAGTACCCATAAAACGTCTCTGTTCTAAAATTGAACATGCAGGTATTATAGGTGATCTTCACAAATGGATTGTTGCGTTTTTAAACAATCGTTTTTTCCGTGTGAAAATAGGAACTGACGTCTCGGAATACTATTCTGTTAAAAGTGGAGTTTTTCAAGGCTCAGTTCTTGGCCCATTACTCTTTCTTATTTATACAGTAGATCTTCCTCAAACATTGCCACTTAAATGCTCGCTGTATGCTGATGATACAAAGATTTATGGGAATCCTATTACTGATTATAAACTATTGCAGGAAAGCTTGATTGCTGTAGCAAATTGGTGCAAAAAATGGTTAATATAGCTCAGCTATAAAAAATGTGTAGTTTTGCACTTGGGTAAGAACAACCCAAGATTACATTAACAAATTGGTAGCATTCCATTGTCAAAAGTGGACAGGCAAACTGATCTTGGTGTAGTGATTTCTAATGACCTCTCTTGGTCAGCTCATATAACTGATACTTGCAATAAAGCTAAACGCTCGTTATTTCTTTAAAAAAATATATTATCTACTCCCTCAATTGAAACTACGATTGCTTTTATAAATCCTACATAAGACCCATCACCGAGTATGGTTCAGCTGTGTGGTATCCAAATCAGATAAGAGACCAATCTCAAATTACGTGCCGCCACCAGACTTCCCTATGGTGTTTCTCGGCCGTCTTATGAAGAAAGACTAAATATTTTCAAACTAATCCCAGAAATCGAAAGACTTAAGCATGGCGATCTGATCACAACATATCGCATTCTTCATGGCACATATTGCACAGATTTATCACATTCATATGTGTTACTCATACTTGACTTCGTGGTCACAATTACAAGCTTAGCCATCAGAATTATACTACCAGATGTAGGCAGTTTTTTTTTTGAGCAACCGTGTCTTTCATGACTGGAATTCTTTTCCAAACATTGTTGTAAGTTCTTCTTCTATAAATTCTTAAAAAAAAACTTAATAATGTACTTAATTTTTAATAATTGTACCTGTTTACATTAGCATTTTTTTCGCTCCATATGTTTGTCATTCTCGATTAAAATAGTATTGTACCAATAGTACTCTTTTATTATATATTGTATGCTTATTTTTTTTAGATATTTTTTTCATATTGTTTTTTGCTTTTGAAGAATTTTATAGGTTTTTACCTCTACTCTTATTATGTTAATAATAACGATAATAATAATAATAATAATAAATAACACGTATTGAGTGCCGCTTTGTTGAACAAATTTACTGATAAAGCTGTGATGCTAACCTGAGTACATAACTTATTATTCCTTGTTTTTTTTATTAATTTTATAAAAAAAATAAAAAATCAAACATTTAAACGAAGGGATCAGCATTGATAGACATTTCATTATTTTCCTTTATCCTTTCATAAAATTATTTTCCATTCCAAAAAATATATCTGTTGTTTTCCACCTGAATAGTTTTTATATGTTACTTAACTTACCGGTAAATTTGTTTTTTTTTTTTAGTTAGTATAGTATGAATTGTTGTTTTTTAGCACTAACTACGACATAATTACACACAATTATGCATCAAAAGACAACTAAAATCGTAAAAGAAATCGTTCGATTACAGGAAAATCGGCCACTAAACCGACATCTAGGTCGCTCGCGTGGCTGAGTGACGGCGCCAATGGTTAACGGTCCAGTTGACAGCTCTTGTAATGATAAATGAAATACACAAAAATAACTAATCTGTTTACTCACTAATCTATCGTGATGGAATATTTTATAAATATACATAAATATACGTCTAAAAATTAAAAAAAAACGGTGACGTATAAAACCTAACCAAAGCTGCAAAAATGAAGATAATTGAATTCTGCAAATTGCTTTTGGTTTCTGAATATTTACACTCTGTGTATACCAAATTTCAAGTGTCAGCAAAGCTTCGAACTTTGGCAAAGTTTGGAGTTTCAGATGCCGATGGATGTATAAAACCTTTTAGAACACAAAGTTTTGCTCTCCTGATTTTCGGCTTTAGCGTCATTATTGTATACTTATATATTGAAATATAGTTTTCGAAAGTTTTAACACTTTTTGTTTATAATTGACATTTTCATAGCAACCTTTAAAAAATCGACGTTTCATACCGTTTTTTTAATCTCACGGCTTTGTGATTACAAATTTCGTAATCGGACCACCGCCATTTTGTAGCTATTTTTATTACGAACAAATCATGTTCTAAGCATTTTTTCGTAGAAAGTCATCCCGCTGCTACTAAAAAAATTTCACGATTAAATTAATAACTTTTTTCCTGATAAAATTCTTCTTCTCAGCAAATTAACCTGTTATTTTACTCATCATTTAAAGTATTCCTGTGTAGTTATTTCCGAGTTATCAAGGAAATGTCACCAACAGTAACTTTTCGGTCTCTGCCGACTGGACTATTAGTTGTTTTGGAGCAATCCGATGTGCTTGGAAAAGAGCTCGGAATTTTAAAGAAAAAAAATTATTCAGGCACTCTTTTTGGTACTAAAACTAGGCACTGAACCACCTGATTTCAATAAGCAATATTAAAAATTAAAATACCTGCTAACTAAATATATGACATCCCCCACCACCAGTCTATCTTAAAAGATTGTAAAGAGGTGGATTGCGGTGGATTTTGGCGATTTCCCGTGGAAACTGCGGGACTGCTAGTGATTTCTGTGTAATTGCTGGCTATTTCCGTGACTGATTGGTTCAAGCAGTCTTTTTGAAACTACCCTACCTGCTCGCAATAAACAATATTAAATGAACGCTTGCTAACTAAGAATAACCACCAGGTTATTTTAAGGAATTACGGACAGAATTGCGATCTATTTTGGTGATTTTCTATCAAAGCTGTAGGATTGCGATAATTTCTACTTGATTATGGTGATTTCAAACGATTTCCTGTAAAATTGCGCACATACTGCGGAAAGCGGTTGCCCTCCCGATAATCATTTAGTAATTCCAATGGTTTTCTCACAATCAAAAAGTTTCTTTTAAAAAAAAGACTATTGTCAATGTTGATGCTTTTACAATTTTAATTATTTTAGTTTCTTCTTCAAATTTCTTCCAACGGATTCTGAATGTTTTAGGTAATGACACGTTTGCTGAAATTGCCATCCGAGTATTGGTCTTCATTTATTACTGTGAGTACACCACAACGCACCGGGGAACTAACTCCAAGTACTCATTCGTCATCAACTTCAAGGCGTTTTTTCACTCCTAGAAGGTAAGTGAAACATTTTAGATACTTTACAATCTTTACTCGCTCATCCGTCGTATACCACTCCATTTTGTCTAACCAACGTGTTTACTACAAGATGTGATCCTACACAATGCTGCCAGTTCTTAGGAATGAAAATGACGCACAATTCAAATCCTGCGTTACTTTTGTGACACTCTTTACATCGTTAAGACACTTTTTTGTGGGGAATTTAAATATGTAGTCGTATTAGCTGCACGGCGTTCCAAATGGAGCAATGGCGTCCAACTTTTGTTATTCATTTGGGCGTGCATTTTTAAATTCGGGACACTTTTCTGATTGTTTTTGTCAGAATGTCAACTCCATTTTTACAAAATGTGCTTTGAAAGCAACACATCCAACTATTACTTTGAACGAAACTTCGATAGTTCAGCTCAGATGATTAAAAACATAATTTTCACGTGAAGTAGTCAGATTGTTCAAATTAATTAAAACGATAGATTTGAGGCAATTCTCAGTTTTCTTCAAGTGAAAATTGCAGATTTAATCACCTATCTAAACCGAAGTGTCAAAACAATAATAATAAATATTTAACTGAACTGCCAAATTTCTCCGGAAGCATTACTTTTTTGTTTTCAATGCACTCTGTAAAAAAATAATAATGTAATATTTCACAAAAAAAAGGAAGCAAACAATATCATACGATATTATTTCATCTTAATCAGAAAAATGCACTTGATTAAAAAATGCATAAATCCAAAAAGGATGGCACACATGAAGTAGAAATAAATTTGTGAATAACGATTTTAACGAATGTTTTAATGCTTTCTATAATACGTTCTTATATAATTTTAATCTGTCATTTGAAATCAAGAAGTCTTGTCATATACCGAGTAGAGGACACACTTGGGCTGATGAAGAAACGGCTATTACCTCCATGTATATGAAGGATCTATATCATCTAAATAATAAGTTAAATTCACAAATTTTCAATAAATTTTATACACAAGAGAAAAAGGTATACAAAAAAATTTATCAATGCAAAAAAGAAATCATACTATGATAATATTATCCACAAATCACCGAATGCCATACGGGAAGCTTGGGGCATTATTAATAGTTATAAAAATAATAATATAACCAATTCAATTACACTAAAGAACAATGAAGGAAATTTAATTAGTAATTCTATAAACATGGCTTCTTTATTCAATGAATATTTTATAAGTAAAGGGATCAATGATTTACCTGCTACTGATGAATATAATGGAAGATATTTGGCAAATTCTATATTTTTACGTGAAATTACTGCAATCGAGCTGCACGATATTATATCGTCTATGAAAGCTGAATATTCTCGGAGTATGGATGATATTCCAGGTATCATTATCAAAGCTAGTCTAGACTTAATTGAACCGCCCTTATTACATCTTGCAAATATATCTCTGATGACAGGAACCTTCCCCAATGTTTTAAAACAATCTAAAATAATACTTGTTTACAAAAAAGGTGACGTGACTTCAGTGACTATTTATAGACCGATTGCTTTACAAAATCAGTTTGCAAAAATATTTGAGGTGTTTTATAATCAGCTTTGTGATTTTTTGGGTAAAAATAATATCGTAACACCATATCAACATGAATTTGTTAAAAACAAAAGTACACAGTCTACTTTATGTCAAAGTATAAAATTTCTTCAGGAATGCCTAGATAATAAATATAATACCTATGGTGCTTTTTTCGACTTTAGTTCAGCATTTGATATGGTGGATCATGATATTTTATTTGTAAAATTGGAAATTAGGGGCATTGCTCTGAATTGGCAAAACTCATATTTACAGGATAGATTGCAATGTGTGCATCTCAGTGATGGCACACAATCAAAAGTTTTACTGAATATCAGGGGGATGCCACAGAGCACTTTGTTGGGCCCGGTATTATTTATTATTATGATATAGCAGATAGAGATGTGTTACCGATATTATATGCGGATGATTCTAACTTCATTTTCAAAATCAAACAGGGCAATTGCTCCACCGAACAGAGTTAATGTCTTTTATAAAATATATTGGAATGGACCAAAAAGAATAAGTTAAATTTAAATTGTGATAAATCTCATCTTATGAAATTTCTTGCAAGAAATACAATTTCTGAGCTCAGTCCATTAATTAAATTTGATTCTGGTAAGTCCATGCCTATGATAGATGAATGTAAATTCCTAGGGATACATGTTGACATGAAATTATCGTGGAGTTTACATGTGACTCATGTCTGTAACAAATTAAACTTTAAGCTTCTTATTTAGACAACTAAGACCGGTAGTTGCTGATTCAACGCTTCTCTCATTATATTATGGACATGTATATTCCTTACTATCCTTTGGGGTAATTTGTTGGGGAAACGCTGTAACTGCAAATTTGGTCTTGATAGCGCAAAAAAATATCATTCGTATAATGGCACAGGTCCCGAGAAGATCTACATGCAAAAAACTATTTCTTAAACATAATTTATTAACATTCCCTTATATATACATATACTTCAGTGCATTATACATAAAGAACAACATAAATGAATTTATAAAACAAGAAGATATCCATATACATAATACAAGGTACAAAGACGATCTGCGAATGCCACAGTATAGGGCAGATAAGTGTTTTAAAGGTATTCAGTCTATGTCTATTCGCATATAAGCTACCAAAATATTTAAAAAATATAAATTCACAAAATAAATTTAAACAAGAATTAAAAAAATTTCTCATCCCTTGGACCTTCTACTAGGTTGATGAATATTTTAAACATTAATGTTTGTATTTAATTATTTTCTGTGACGAATCCTATATTAAGAATTGTATGTTGTACAATGTCTTGATCTTTGGAATTAAAATAACCAATAAAAAGAGCAAAAAGTGCAGGTGATTTTTCCATGACTTAAATGACTGCATGTTTGAATTCCCTACAAAAAATGTCTGCTTTAAAAAAGCTTACCTTGTTTTTGTTAAATATACAGGGAGTGTCGCATAAGAACCGACACAGAGCAGGGGCATATATGGCAACTCAAAATATGGTAATTTAACGCAACTTACCTTTATACTAAATAGCACCCTAGAGAAGTTATAGTCCTTGAACGTGGGGTTTCACATTTTGAAAAAAATCAATATCTGAGTTATACTTGAAGTTAGAAAAACCAAATTTTATACACGTTATGAGTGTACCATGAGCATTAATCGATAGTAAGTAGAGTTCAAGTGAAGCATTTGAAAGCGTTGATAAGGGATGATGCACCTTTAAAATGTGACAGAATTTTTTAACTTGTTGGTGAACTTAAAAAATGTTACTTTATTTTATGGGGAATTTAATTCTAAAACTTTTCTTACTGTTATTACAAGAATAACTAATAATAGGTGTGTATTGTAGCTGTATTATTTAAAATCATCGAAAATTAAAAAATTGGCTCTGAATTTAAACGTTAAACTTGACGATCAGGAAAAAAATGAACTCAGAATAATTTAATAGAAAAACAAACAACTTAAACAGAAATAACATACACTTTGCACTAATAAGTTATAGAAATTATTTTCTCTCAGGCATAAATTTATTCTTCTTCGAAAATTGAAGTCTACCTACTCTATCCAATAACTGCTGATTGTTTCTAATGAATGTGCTGCTCGAGATGCAACTAGTGAGGAATACACAAATTCTTTTAATGTTCCCCAAAGAAAGAAGCCACATCTATTGAGGTCTGGTGGTAGTAGAGACCAAACTTGTGGCCAATTATTTCCTCTTCCAATCCATTTATTTGGATACTGGTGATTTAAAAAGTCTCTAATAATGTTACTAAAATGAGGGAGTGCTCCATCATGCATAAACCAATGTTTCAGTCTGAGTTGTAGTAGCACCTTGTCAAGTAGATCTAAAGTGTTTTGGAAAAATTCTAAATAACCTTCGCCCGTTAGTCCATTCGGTAAAATAACTGAACCAATTAGATACCTATCAATAACACCGATCCAAATATTTATTTTAAACTTGCGTTGGAAATGTCGAAAAGTTACTGAATGAGGGTTTACATGATCAGCAAACAATTACTAAAATTAAATGACTTTTTTCCTAATCATCAAGTTCGACGTTTAAATTCATAGCCAACTTTTGATTTTTCGATGATTTTGAATAACAGCTACAATACGTATTATTAGTTATTCGTGTTTTTGAAATATATTGAAAATTACAAAGTTTGTTGAAAACTAACAAGAGTAAGAAAGTTTTAGAATTAAATTCTCCATAAAATAAGGTAATAAATTTTTAAGTCCGCCAACGGGTTAAAAAATTCTGTCACATTTTAATGGTACATCATCCCTTATCAACCCTTTAAGATGCTTCAATTGAACTATGCTTACTATCGACTAATGCTCTTGGTACACTCTCACCGTGTACCAAATTTGGTTTTTCTAATTGATGTAAGTTCAAGTATAACAGAGATATTGCCTTTTTTCGAAAGGACCCCGCACAAAACATATGGAGAATGGTCTTTCGGTAAATCTTGCTGAAATTTTGCAGAGATAGGTTTCAGCTTGCTGAACAAAAGTCTCAATGACACCAAGATCAAAAAACCACTGTGCGGCTTGAAATATATGAAAAAAGGTATTTCGTAGAATCTTGTTAAACACAAGTCAATATTTGATCCACAATGAAACACCCAAAGCGGTCTGGTTTTTGGGGTCACTGATTACGATAAGTAAGTCAGTTAACCCTTTGAGTCATACATGATTCTACAGCATATTTTTATCAGAATTTTTTACTCGGGGGTTTTCAGGGTCGCTGATCGCGAATATGAAGTTAGATTTTCATAGTTTCCAAATCCAAGATGGCGGATCCAATATGGCCGACGGTCAGTCATGTATTCTTCTACTCTATGTTTTAGTCTGAATTTTTTTAATC